AGTATTTCCAATGTTCCTTTCTGTGTGTGTAATCTGGAGAATTCTTGGACTGACTAGTGTTTTGTTTTTTCTGTTTTTTTTTTTAACTAGTCAGAAAATGATGAGAAGATAGTAATATATGACCACATTGGGCCAAATGTCTGCATGGGGGATCACAAGGTAATTGAATTAAACATTTTAGTCTTTTATCTTCTATATTTTTATTAGGAAGGAGAATGTATGCACTAGGTTCTACTAATTGTAAGTCAGCTATATCTCTGCCCTATTTTTAAGTAATACCTTGAAAATGCTTCTAAGTCAAATTCAGCTGCAGTCTGTCTATCAGAATGGCTGCTTGTATGAAATCAAAGAGCAGGACAGGTGCTAGAATGAAAGCAGAATACCATCCAAGTGAGGAGGAGCAGCCATCTGTACACTTAAAACTCTTCTAGCAGAACACAAGTGATTTCATTGGGTTATCAACTATGCTTTCAGGGCATAGCTTCAGCTAGGTTGATGCATAGGTGCTTATTAGTAAATGAATGTATTGGCAGTTCTATGTTCAAACAACAAGTGATAAAAATTATATAGAAAAAAGATAAAGAATTATAAATAAATAAATACCAGTTGTTTAAATTAATAAAATACTTGAATTCTATGGTCTTCTTTGCTGAAGATACCAGATGAAAGCCTAAGTTAGAAATACAATAAAACAGAGTGTTTGCTTTCTTTGAAAAAAGCCAATTGAGGAGCAGGAGGTAACCTCTGAAAGCCTATCTAAAAACAGCACTGAGACTCTTGAATGATAATTCAGAGAGGGATAGTAGGTGATTGTATGTGTGGATACATGTGTACATGCAAATCTGAACTCACAAATGCATACCCCTATTTAATTCCATGGTCAGAGTTCTTGTGAGACAGAGAATTGTTTTCTAAGGAAAAATGCTCTTAGGGCATTTGGTCCAGAATCATCCAAGGTTTTAAAATAGAGCAACTTACTAACTTATCCAGTAAACAAAAAGCTCTGGGTCAGCCAGTTCAGAAATAGCAGTTTTTGTTTCCTGCATCACCAAAGTGGTGCAGCACTGTTACAAAAGGGAGATGTGTATGGGACCTCAACCTCTTCCCACAGAAATCTGTGGAAAATTTTCCTTTAGGTTTCAGTGGGAGCAGAAATCTGTGAGGAGATGATGTTGTTCCCTAATCCATTTTGTAACTAGAGTGATTCAAAAACTTGTTGCAACATTTTGTTTCCAATCATAGAGAATTTTTTGTTGTATTTACTACTGACTGTAAAGAAAAGAAAAAAAAAAAACAAAAACAAAAAAACAAAACACGTATGTTTCAAACATGTAACTTCTATTTTTCCCTAACTTGCTGCAGCCTGTGTTCCTGTCCTTTCGAATAGCTGCTGGGGCAGGTAAACCTATTGCAAATGTGCACAAGTGTTGTGTCGTGCAGTGATGTGGTGGTAAATATCATCTTTTTTCTTTACGTTTCTATTACATTTTCTACATCATTTCCCCTGTGTTTATCTTTCTTTTTAAAAAAATGCCAATTCTGCAACAGGAAAAAGATGCCTACGAAGTGAGAAGATTTTCCGTGAAACCACACTGTAGCCAGGAGGGAAGGCAGCACACTGAAATCTGTAATCCTAACAGCTGTATTGATAAATCCAGTCCTGAGTGCCACATTTTTAGACTGCTGATCGTACACTATGCTTCAGCATCTGGACTCTGTTCAAGAGACGCCTCACATACCTCACTGTCTTGTATGTTCATGTGACATCAAGTAGAAATGTGGAATTATTTTTTATATATATGTCACAGTTCTGTTGCCAAAACTCTAAATAGACAGCAGAGATGTTCTGTATTCTAGATTTCACAACTTTCAACTTTTAATAAGTGTTTGTCAATGTGGAAAAGCTATTTCAGCATATTACAAAGTTTTAAAGGTATCATACCCATTATATATCTTTACCACTTTGGGATTTTGTACATTGGATTGTATAGATAGAGATATTGATGGTTTTAAATGGTATTTTCTTTTTGACCAAGGCTTATGGTTTGTGTTTTAGTTTTAGTATTTTGGTTTTCATTTTTTAATTTTTTTTCTCATTTTATTTACTATACTGCCATGTTACATGGTTTTGAATCACACAGCAGCTGCTTTCTATACATACATATATATGTGTGTGTATATATATGTATGTATGTGTATATATACACAGATATATAAATAATTTATAAACCTGACCAAAACTTATGCTAAATATACTTTCCAATCTGAATGCTTGAGAGTGCCATATCAGCAGTAAGTATTGGAGTCTTAGCAGGTTTAGTTAAGTGTACATCAACAACCAACATTTATATAATAAATAATATATAGCAGTGCCATCCTGGATACAGATATATAGCATACTATATAGCACATATATTAGCAGTTTCACTTTGTTATTCCTATAATCTCTTCTTTCTATGTAATATTAAGGATTGAATGTGAAGTTCTTAGCTAGGTTTGGGTGTAACTTTCCAGAATTTTGTAAACTGTTTTTGTCCGTCTTTTGTTACTGTTTTATGGTGCCATATTCTATATTGAAACAATAACAACATGGGAGAAGAAAATAATAGTCTGCTTCAAGTAGCAACTGTATTGGACACAGACTGTATTTATACAGTATTAAAGAAAAAAAAAAACAAACCAACAACAAAAAACCAACCATCAACCCAACTGTAAATTTTCCTGGTTAGTAGCTCAGTGCAGCCTACAATATAGTCTTGTTACAGACATCTTCCTCCCACCACTAAATACAACATTAAAAGGTGATTAGGGAGTCTGTTGATGAAACACAAATGTATGTTTTATTGATTTAATTTAGAACACTACAGAGTTCATGGACTGCGCGATGGCATTAGATTGATGCTTGATTTTGGTATAAATCACTACCATTGGAAATGATTTGATGTCCGCTTGCAGAGTTTTCTCAACAGTACAGCCCAGTTTATAGCAAGTATTGTTGCCCAAAGGGTGTCTGCAGCTCTGTATTGTTACTGTGCCATGTTGCATTATAACCACACAGTAATTCTATTTAAGCGAACTCAACTCATGATAACTGAAGGCCTTTAGAAATGAGTACTCTGGTTCTCAAGCAATAAAACTAATCATGGTGAACATGGCTGTGTCTGCCCCTTTGATTTGGTGATTACAGGGAAATTGCTAAATTGTCACATTTCTTATCGAGATACCTTTTGAATCTTTGAATTGCCAGCTAACAAGGGTATTTTTCACATGAAAACTTCTCCGATAGGATGCAGTTCTGGTGTTAATCAAAATACAATACAAACCGAGTCAAAGGGAGCCCTCATGAGAGGAAGGTGATGCAGCTTTACGAGCTGTCACAGGATACTAGTCCTCAGCAGGTCAGTAAATGTGCCACCATAAACTCCTTCGTGATTATCCCGAGTTTCAGAAGGAACCTCGCCGGCCTTTTCCAGCAGGGACCGGGGTCCCGAGTGCGGATGAACTCGCGGTAGCCTCCAGCCGCGGGCCGTGCGGGGCCCGAACCTCCTGGGGGTGCACCGGTTACCTGCCGGGGTGAGCTACTGAGAATGTCCCCAACTGAGCCCTCAGAAACTGATGAAACGCAGCTTTCGCATTTTAACAGCCGCGGAGGCGCGGGTGACGCGGGCCGATGCCAGCGGACAGCCGAGGAGCGACGGGCTGGCCCGGCCTGGGGCCGGCTCCTGTCAGCTCGCCCTCTGCCCGGGCTGTCAGTGCTGCGGTGCCTCGGAGCCCCCTTCTCCCGGAACGGAGAAGCCCCCTCGGAGCTCATTTCGTTTAAGAGCTTTGGGAAGAGGCAGGTGGGAATGACTAGCCTCGAGCGCAGGTGCTTTTATCCAGCCACTTCCCCTCAGGAGCCCCAGCACCGGCCGGTCTCAGCGTGCTCGCAGCCCGGCGCAGTCCAGACCCTAAACTCGATTTATCCCCTCTGTCAGCGCGGCATAACTGGGCGCGGCCCCGTTCGGTGAGCAGCGACCTGCGGGGCTCCCCGCCCTCCCCGGGACGCGGAGCTGCCCCGGCAGGAGCGAAGGGGAATCCGTCACAGTGAGCGGGGACACCGGGACCGAGGGGGGCTCCAGGGGGAGAGGTCCGGGCCCGTTCCGCAGCAGAACCGCGCCGACGCGGGCCCGTGTGGAGCGGCGGCGGGTGACGGCGCCGTGCGGGCCTCGGCACCGGGAGCGGGGCGAGCAGGGGAGGCCCGGGCGGGGCCGGCCGCGGTGCGGGGCCAGGAGCGCCCGCTGGGCCCCGCGCTGCGGAAGGCGCTGTGGAACCGGGGCCTGCGGCGCTGGGGCCCGCACCGGACGCTGGCTGCTAGGCTGCGGTGCAGCCGCTCCCTGCGTTTGCTCGGGCTGCGAAGCCATGGCTGAGACACGGGGAAAAGCGACGCTCTCGTTCCTTAAAAAAAAAAAAAAAAAAAAAAAAAAGCAAAAAAAGAGCAGCATCTTAACAACGCGGGCGGCTCACACCCACCCGAAGTCGCGTGTGCCGAGGGGGGCAAGGTGGAGGCTCGGGCGGAGGGAGCGCTTTGGCGGCCGCGGAAGCACGCGGGGCCCGGTTCGGTGCGGGGCCGAAGCACGGCCCCGGAGGGTGCCGGGGCTCGCAGGCCGCCGCGGCGGCTCTCAACAGCTTCGGCCCGGGTTTTTCAAGTACACAGCTAGTACACAGCAAGGGGCTGTGCCCCGGCCCCTATCTCCCCTCTCCGGAGCGGACCCCACCACCCGCCCGAAGCCGACGGAACGCTGCAGGGGCAGTTCGGGCTGCACCTTCAGCCCGGGTCTCTCTCCTCTCCAGGGTGACGGGCAGTCCCACAGCGCGGCCCCGGGGCTCTCCCGGCTCAGCCCGCCGGCCCCCGGACGCAGCGGCTCCTTTTCCCGGGAGGAGCAGCATCGGGCACCCTGCAGAAGCTCTGGCATCCCCGGCCTCTGGCACAGAAATGCGGGAAGAAACTCACTAAAGGAGGTTGTTAAATAATTTATTGATTTATACAAAGTCTTTCCAACACGTGTGGAGCCATTCTAATGTAAAATCAAGTGTCCATTTTCCTCTCGTGCTTTTTTTTTTGGGCACTGGTTTGGTTTTTTGGTATTATTAAGCATAAAATCCAGAGGCAGGAGAAATGAAACTGCCAAAACACTGAGGGACAGAGTGAAAGAAAACTGCCGTTTTTACACTAGAAATATACATCACAAAATCTGAAATTTACTATATACAAAGTGGCTGAGCTCGGACTTGGGACCCATAGAAAACGTAACAAAACTTGATTGTTAGGAGCAGCAAATTAACAGGAAGGCTAAAAGGAAAGAGCGGGAAACCTTACAGGGACACAAAACCCAAAAAGTTGAAAAATTTTCTCTGAAATTTACATCGATGAGAAAGAAAATAAATTCATAACTTATTCTGTAAAAAATATATACATTTCACATACATCTTAGGCTGTACAAGACACCACTTCAAACACCCAGTTACACTCACCCCTGCCGCGCTGCCCGGTGCGGCCGTCGGCCCCGCACTCTCACAGCGTATCCGAGCTGGTGCTGCAGGGGCTCACGAGGGACAGGTTCGTGGATTTGTGCTTTTTCAATAGCCTCGTGATTTTTTCATCGTCTGAGTTGGGGTCCAGGGGCTTGTTGTATTCGTCATCGTCCTCATTGTCCGAGCTCTCCTTCAGCTTCTCCGTCTCCGAGTCGTGCTTCTTCTTTGCCGAGGCCATTTCTGCCGCGTGTCTCTTCCGCCACTTGGTCCGTCTGTTCTGGAACCAAACCTGGGCACCGGCACCGGGCACAGCTCAGCCACGGCCTCAGCCCCGCCGCCCCCGTCCCATCCGCAGCGCGGGGCTGCGGGCGCTCGGAGCAGAGCCCGCACCGGGCAGAGCCCCGGACGGCTCCTGGGAAGGGGGACACCTGCCCGGCTCTGCGGAGCTGCGCGACGCTTAAATCAGCAGCTTCCCGGAACAGTCGTTTGTTGAAAGCAGAATAAAATAGCCAGGAAAAATGAGTATTTTTGGCTTACGGTGCACCCCAGCATTCAGATGCACCTGCAGGCTTTGCTAAAAAATTTGCGGGGTTACACAAGGTAAAGTTGTACCAGTGGACATGATTCCTCGTGGAAAAGTGTCCCTTTAAAAAAATTACCTGCGGGGGGCTTCTTGTCGTTGTTGTGATGGGGGTTTATATTAAATATAATATGTCTATTTATTTTAAATGGTTTGCAGCACAGAGAGCTCTAAGCAGAAAATAGGTAGAAATTACCCTCAAATCTATCCAAAATCGAAATGTAAATTAAATTCTAACTGACTCCCCCCCCCCCAAAAAAAAAAAAAAAAAAAAAAAAAAAAAAAAAAAAAAAAAAAAAAAACAAAAAAAAAACCAGCATAATTGCGCAGTGTTCGTGGCTGCTAGTAATTACGGACAGGGCAGAAAGCGGCCGCGGCAGGGAGCGGGAGCCCGCAGGACGGACCTACCTTCACCTGGCTCTCAGTCATCCCCAGGGAATAGGCGAGCCGGGCGCGCTCCGGTCCTGCCAAGTATTTCGTCTGTTCGAAGGTTTTCTCTAAAGCGAATATCTGCTGCCCAGAGAAAGTAGGTCTAGAGTGTTTCTTCTTGCCGTCCTTGTCCAAAACCATCCCCGTCTGAGCTGGAAGCGGAGAAAGAGCTGCGTCAGAGATGAACTCTGCAGTGCCCCCGGCCCGCAGCCGGGCCATGCGGAGCCGCCTCGGGGGTCGGCCGGCTCTAAAGCTAGGCTCGGCTCGGGACAGACCCGGGGCCGTGAAGACCGAGTGACCGGCACCGGGCCTTCCTGCCGCCCGCCCCGTCCGCCGGCTCGGGGCCGCCCCGGCGCTGGATCCCGGGCCGCCTGCTCCCCGCGCCCTGCCAGAACCGGCCGCACTTACCGGGACAGGCGAGCCGAGGATCTCTCCAGGGAGAGCCTTGCACTACTCCCGGCCAGAAAATGGGCGGCCGTCCCGGCAGCTCCGCCAGAGGCTTCGGGTAGCGGGAGACGGCAGCGGGGCTGAAGTACATCCCGGCCGAGGCTGCCAGCCCGTTGATGCGGGGCAGCCCGCCCAGAAGGTTGCTGGCACTGCCCACGGGCCGCCCCAGGATGTCGCTTATTCCGTGCGGTGTCCCCAAGGGGAGCTGCGTGTTGAGTCCGCCCAGGGCCGGTGCCTTGAAACCGGAGGGGTTCTGCAGGGCGTAGGGGAACAGCGAGGTCTTCATCTCGGCCATGTTGTGCAGCGCGGCTAGCGGCGCGCTGCTAAGGACGAATGCGCTCTGGCGATTAGCATCCATCTGTCCCACCGCTAACATCTGCGGGCATCAGCGAGCGTGGGTCCTTCCCAACCGCGCCGCGGCCGCTCCGCTGGGGACCCCCGCCGGGACCGCGGCCGCGGGCGGGACGGGCTCCTGGCCGCTCGCAGGACCTCAGCGACAGCAAGTACCGAAGTTTGCTGGGAACAGGAAAATCCCGGCGCTTGTCCGCCCGCTCCCGCGGCGTGCACCTCCGAAGTCCGGGCGGAAGAGCAGCGAAAGCCGAGCCGGGGCAGCGCGGCGAAACAACAGACTGGGAGTCCCGGGAGGAAGAGCCCAGACCGGCGGCGGGTCCCGGCGGACTACAGGCAGTGCGCTCCACGCGGGATCCGGCGGGAAGGGGATGCGGGACCTGCAGCTCCGCGCGTCGCCCCGGCCGCGTGTCCGGCGGCCGCGGGGACGCTCCGCGCCGCGCCCCGCGCGCAGATAACCGCGCGGGCACCTGCGCGCCCCGCGCCCATTGGGCAGCCACCGCCCCGCGCCGCCAACACCGCCCAATCGGCGGGCGGCGCGCGCCTCCACCCCGATACGTCACGGCCGGACCGAGCCGTGGGAGCGCGCGGGGCTGCACGTGGCCGCGCCGCGCCCGACGGGACCCCCGGCCCCTCCGCCCGCACGGCCCCGCCGCCGGTCAGCCAGGCCGGCCCCACCGCCGGTCAGCCCGCACGGCCGGTCAGCCAGGCCGGCCCCGCCGGTCAGCCAGCCCGGCCCCCCCGCCGGTCCTCTGCCCCCGCCGGCAGCCAGCGGCTACACCCGGAGGCGGCGGCGGCCCCCTCCATTCGCCGCGTCGGGCCTCTCCCGCCGGGCGGGGTCCCGGCGCGGAGACCGAGCCGCCTCATCGAGCAGCCGGGCAATGACCGCGCGGCCCCGGCGGCTGCGCTGCCCCGGAGCGACAGTGCCCGCCCGGTCGCTGTTCTGGCGGGTCATCGGCGCCGTCTTCAGCTGCTCAGCGACAGTTCCCTCGCGTTAGAGCCCAACGTGTTTAAAGCTGTTGTAAAAAATGATTTTATGCCCTGTGAATAACTGTTTAGCTCAACTTTGTTGTCTATTCTGAAACCCACTGCCGTTCCTTCCTTCCTTTCCTCCCTTCCTCCCGACCCGACGTAGGGGTAGAATCCCTGGTCTTTAAAGAGAGAAAAACTGCTGTTGCATCACCGCGGAACCAAGCTCGTTCAAAGAAATAAAATTACCAGAGATATTCCTAATCGAAAGCATAATTCACTGTCAAAAAAAGAAGAATTCGGATTTGAGGCTTATACAGAAAATAATGCCGGAAACTGAGTTAATAGCATATTTTCCGCCTTGCAACTGCTTTCTCCTACGGGTTTGATACATTGTTATCCAAGGAAAACATTAACCACAATAAGCGGGGAACTAAATATTTTCAAAGTGTTCGTAAAGTAAACACGAATCGACTCGATCATATCAGAACAATTACTAAAAGCGTGGTCCTTTGGATGTGGTCATATCTGTCGTCAGAATCGTCTGCAGGTGAGCAGGGTTTCGTTTAACCTGTAACAAGACCGTAATGTCAATGTAGGTCAGCTCTGGGAAGTAATTATTCGGGCTCGTCCATGGTCTTTGTTTTCAATGGCTGGAGTCACGGATGTAACAGTCCGCGAGTCTCGTTTTGCGCATCCTTGTAAAATACTTAACATACAAACGTGAGATTAAAGACGACGCTGCGCTAAAGAAGGTTTAATAAACGACTTCGTTGCTTTTCCCTCTGTCTATTGCGAACACCAGCAGCGGAAGGAACAGTCACGGTGTATGGGGCTTTGTGAGGACAGCCCCATCAGCTCTGCAGGCTCGTTTCCGCGCCGCCTGCGTTGGGAAGGGGCTGGCAATGCCACCTGCTCCCTCCGCCTCCGGCGCGGCCCGGCTCACGGCGGCGTTGAAAGCTGCTGTAGGTGCCCGCAGTCGGGGTAATCGGCCCTTCCGGAGGGTCGTGCCTTCAGCCGGGGATCGGAGAGCACCGTCCCGGGCAGGCAGGAGCCAGCGCGCAGCCGGCCCGTGCCTCTCCGGGGCGTGGACCGCCGCGTTTGCCGCGTCCCGCCGGTCTGCCTGCCCCTGCAGCGCCTCTGCCCGCCGAGTCCGCACATCTTGCGACTCTGAACAGCGGCCCCGCGGCGCTGAGCGGCTCGGCTCGGCTCGGCTCGGCTAGGCTAAGGAGAGGGACACCTCCCGCCCCGCCCGGCCGGGCGCCGGGTGCTGACCCAGACACAGGCAGCCGGCAGCCGCTCGCCGAGGCGCCGCTTTGCTGCGCGGGACCGATGGGACGAGGTAAGCGAGCGGCCTCCGCCATCCACGCTGCGGCGGGGCCAGACCGACCCCCGTCCGCCCTTGGCGGGCACGCTCGCCGCCGGGCTGCCGTGCCGCCGGTAGCAGAGGGCCGTGGCGGAGCGCAGCGTCCTCCCGAGCGGCTGCAGCCCGCTCCCCCGGGACACCCGAGAGTGTCCGTGTCCGTGTCCGTGCGTGTGTCCCTTCCTGCGCGGCTTCCCCGCAGCCAGGAGCGCCCAAAACTCAGCGCGCACGGCCCCCGGCGCTCTCTGGACCGTGGTGCCGGTGGGCCCGGGGGGGCCGCTACCTCGGGACCCTCGCCCATCGGCGTATCCCGGGGGCACAGCCAAAGCCTCCCGCTCCATCTAAAGCCGCCCTCGGCGTCCGGTTGGCAGTTTGTATGTTATCAGTGACACTTGTTCCACATTAGTGGTGCGTTTGTCCATTTCACTGACTTTCCTGAAATCCCATACCCTCGTTTTTCTACGTGGAAATATGTGGGGTTTATTTCTGTAGACCCCGTGGAGTGATAAATCTACTTTCGCGTCTGTTCTTTCGAAGAGGTGTGGCACCGAAAGAGGAGACCACGGGCAGGCATCCCCGGGTGTCTCCGGCTCCCCACCCGGGGGCTGCTCGCTTATCCTCTTTCCGCCCCGCCGCTCCCTCTCCCCGATGCTGTTGGGTCCCAGGAGCTGCCCGGCTTCTCCGGGGCCAAGGACTCCCCTCGCCCTTAAGCAAACCCCGTTCCGGGCGCAAAGCTCGTTCTCCTCGGAGACGTCGCAGCGGACGGGCAGTGCTCGGGGAGACTGCACCGGCTGCTACGGGCGCCCTGCCCCGGCCCGGGCCCGGCTCGGCGCAGCGCCCGCAGTCACGCCCGGCAGCCTCTCGGAGGGATGGTCTCGGTAAAATAAGCCGGGGATACTGTTCCGAAGAGTCAGCGGCTCATCGGCTGCCGGAGCGCTCGCAGTCTGCGGTGCTTCCTGTGGCCGAGCAGAAGTTACTGGTGGAGGGCTTGCCCGAGCAGATGTGAACCAGCTCCAGGCATTTGTGACGGCCGGGGCGGGCGCGGTCCCGGGTTAGTCCGGCAGCGCTGCAGCGCGTCCCGTCGGGCGGACACGCCACCGGCACTGCTTGTGTCGCCTCTTTCGGAACGTTCATTTCGGCGGAGGAGAACACGGCCGGGCCGCGGGCAGCGCGGTCACCGGTCCGGGCCCCCGCGCCCAGCCCGGCCCGGCCCGGCCCGGCCCAGTCCAGTCCAGTCCAGTCCAGTCCAGTCCAGTCCAGTCCAGCCCAGCCCGGCCCAGCCCAGCCCAGCCCAGCCCAGCCCGGCCGGGCCCGGGCTCGTTCCCCCCGCCGGGCCGGGTCTCGTTCCCCACCGGACCCGGTCTCGTTCCCCTCCGGGCCCGCTTCTCTCCGTGCCGGAGGTATGGTGGCGGCGGTGGGACGGGGCTAGGGTGCCCGGACGGACACCGGCGCCGCGGCCCCCGAAGACTGGCGCGGGTGCCCCGGCGCTGTCCCGGCGCAGTCCCGGAGCACCGGGCGGTAAGACCCGCGGCGCTGACGCGCTCGCCGGGCGTAGTTACAGACAGGGCGAAACACGGATTCCCGCCGTGTGAAGTTAACGATCGTGTTGCTTTGCCCCTGACATCGGTAGCATTTTTTGCAGGTGACATAGAAACAAAACTCATATCAGTAACATCAAATTTCGTCTGGGACTTACGCATTCTAGCGTAGTAAAAAAAGGAGTATTGCAGTGTGTGGACCAGGAGTAAATTCTACAGTACAAATAACTTCTGACAAGTTTTGTTTAACCTGCTTTTTTTTGTTTTGTTTTGTTTTTTTTTTTTTTTTTGTTTTTGTTTTTGTTTGTTTTGTTTGTTTTGTTTTGTTTTGTTATGCGTACAGCCAAAGTGACTTTTCTTGTAGCTTCTGTGCAGCTAAAAATGTCTGAGAGGTTGTGGACTAGAAGAAAATAAGTGACTAATAGATCCTCCCACTGTATTATACATCATTCCAAAGTGCAGCTGTAGAGTCCATGTGGAAACAGAACGATTGAGGAAGCGGGAGCTCAGAGCAGCTCGCCTCACAGGTTTCCTTCCCCGAGTTGTTCTGCAGCTGATGGAGGTACCAGTGGAGGAGCAAGGGAAACGTTACTGCTGCTCCGAGTTACACGGAGCAATAGTGACAGGAGGAAAATCCATGTCCTGGCCCTGCGTGATGCTGTCTGCCTGTGCTCCTCGCAGTGTGCATGCTGCTTCCTCACAGCACACCAAAAGAGATCCTCGTGTTTAAAAATGAGGGGCATTTTTGCCTAATAATGTAGCCACTAGAAAACAAAGTAATTTTATACTAAATGATCTCTGTTGAAACATCTTCACAGGATGATGTATGTTCTGAGAAAGGCCATATTTAATATTTTCCATTATTATCCTTGGCACGAAAGGTAGGAATCTGCTAATGGTGCAGAGCTGAGAGTGTTCGTAGTCTAGAGCAACAAGAAGGGAAACTGGGTGACCTTGAGAACAGTGTGACAGAAATGTGAAGAAATGTAAAAATTCTGTTTCTAACCGATGGTTTCCTGGGAAGCCAGTTAACTTCAGCTACGAAGCACAAATATGAGACTGCTTTTTAGTTCTTTCTAGAAAGAACAAAAACAAAAGGCTCACTATGTGTTGTATCTTGTGACCTTCTAGGGTTTTAATCTCTTTATTGGGGTGGAGGGAGAGCTATATGTATACATCCTTTCAAAACAACTTATTCCTGCTGAAGACTAGAGGGAGATTTTAAAAGTGTCATGAGGAAGTTTTCAGTGCCTCTGTGT